TGGTAGTGTCAGAAGCCAAGCTGAGTGACAGAACACACTCAGTTGGGGTAGATGTTTGCACAGAGTAGTGGGATATCAGGAGAAGCTCCCTATGGATTCCTGTGCACATACCTGGAGACACAGGATCCCTTCCATAGCAGATCCAAGAACGGGGAGCTAAGGGAGGAGGCCACTCCTGCCATTCCAGTTTTAAAAGCTCCACGTCGAAGACAAGAGTGGCATGTGGCGGGATGATTTCTGGGTGCCCAGTGGAACCATAGGCATAGCCTGGGGAGATAATCAGTTTGGCTCTCTGACCCACACTCATCTGGGCCACCCCTTCTTCCCAGCCTCGGATCACCTCCTGCTTGCCAAGCAGAAACTTGAAGGGCTTGTTTCTGTCATGGGAGGAATCAAACTTCTTGCCATCTTCAAGCACCCCAATGTAGTGCACCATGCAGGTCTGGCCAAGCTTCGGGAATGTGCACCTGTCTCCTGGAGAGATGGTCTCCCCCTGCACTCCATGGCGGCAGCGGGCGCGGCGCAGGTGGCGCGAAGGACAGTCGGCATGGACAGAGAGCGGACCCGGCGGCGGTCCCGGGGCTCCACTCCGTTCCTCCGCCCATATGTGCATTTTGAGGTTGTATGTGGATCTGTAGAATAAATCCCACTTCTTTGGGTTTTTGCCTTATAGGATAGATACTGTTACATTTTGGCAGACAGCTTTAGGCTTTTCTCCATAGAAGTTATATTCTACTGAGTCATCTCCCCGGCCCCAGAGGTTATAATTTGAACTAAAATAGACTCCTTAAAGCTCTGTTGACACCCTAAGGTACTTATTTGTCTATGAAGGACTCTTTGTTTTCTCTCTGTATTTATTCATTGGCCTGCTGTGTCAATCTGTGACATGCAAATGGTTATACTCTATGAAGTGAATTTATGGGAGACCACTGTTTTGGACTGAATTCCTGCACTAGGCACCAGAGAGGACAAAACCAGAATGGACTCATGTGTGCTTGGTGCCACATAATCAAGGTGAACTTTAAAACAAGCCAGTTTTCTAAAATCAAAAAAATTCACAGCAATAAAATGGAGGATGGGGGCCTGCCCCGTAGCTCAGTTCTTTAAGTGGCTGCTTCAACAAAGCTGTCAGGCTCAGGTTGCTGTGGTTCATCCCCACAACTCAAGCCAGCCAAACCTGCCCTGAGGGCATTCAGAGAAAAAAAAAAAAAAAAGAAAAAGAAAAAAGGAAAAAAAATCCTTGGGGGCCTGGCCCTAGCTCAGTCCTTTAAGTGGCTGCTTCCACAGAGCTGTCAGCCTCAGGTTGCTGGAGTTCAATCCCCACAACACTCCAGCCAGCCAAACCTGCCCTGAAGCATTCAGAGAAAAAAAAAATCCTTAATAAACTGGAGGAAGCCTATCCTACCTGAGCTGTGATAAGGAAATCCCTTCTGCTTTAACCCTATGAGGGAAGTTGCTTGATGATGGTCAATGGGCTTTTTGTTCCCTGTTGCAGCTTTCTTCAGCCTTTGTCTAACTGTAAAGTTCTCTTCTGCTCAGCTCACAGGAGAACCTCTCTAAATCCTCGAGTGTGAACCGCCCGATTCGTGAGCTGCTGATACGAGGCAAGTCAATTTTTACATTTGTTACAATTTTGTTTTTTGAGCTCTTTCAGAGTTGTGTGGAAGACTTACTAACAGCGTTTGGCACCACTTGTGCTCAGCCCTCCAGAAGGTTTCTGAACTTTTCCTTTGTGTTTGTTGCAAGTGGACTCTGGTGGGCTCCAGGGGCTGCAGCAAAGCACCCCTGCTGCAGGGCGGCTTTCAAGTTGACGCAACGTTCCTGAGACTACCGTTCTGAGCTGCAGGACAGATGTCTTTCTAATACTTCTGTGTGAATGTTAAACACTAATCAAAAATTTCATTTAGGTAGAAGAAAAAGATGAAAGTAATCATTTTTTGCAGTGAAAATATTGACTTATCACCAGTGAAGTAGAAAATGACTTTGTTTCTCAACTTCTAGTCAGTCAAAGAGTGAATGCCTTAGAAATTGATAAATAGCCGGTTGGCTGCCCTTATTCTATGCATGAAATGACTCCTAATCTCTCTCTCTCATACTGTTTCATGTCACCCCTTCTCCTTTTAACCCTTCAGATTATTTTTCTTAGTTCTCTCACACAGAGGTAGAGACTGTTGCTGATAGACTTCCCCCAATTCTCTTGGATTACCTCTCCATTTCTTCAGCAAAGAGGAAGGGGTACAGAGGATGTGGAACCAAAGCAAACCCCGTCTGTGATGCCTGGCTATCAGCTTAATGCCTGGGCCCTCTTTGAGGTTCTCAGATCCCTCTGGGGCTTTACCTCAGCTGACCAGAGGGCAGGTGCTCAAGGAAGAAGTTTCCAGAGAGGAGGCCACACTGCAGGGGTCCTTATACCCTTTCTTAAAAAAATGGAGCAGGGCACCCTCAGAGTCAACATAAAAGACCTGTGTGCAAGGTAAAAGAGTAAAGTACCAAGAGTAAAGCATTTATGATTTGGCAATTTTAAATTGCTTTTAGTCTTAATATAAATCACAGGTGGTGTGTTTTTTTAAAAAAATAATGTAATGTTCAGATATCTAGGTTCTAGCCTTTGTGTTTTTCTGAGTTGAAAAATAATATTAATAACAAGCAAGGGAAGAGACAGAGAGAGAGGGTATTGTAAGTCTGTCGACATGGCCTAAGTCCAAGTCCACTGTCACTGTGTCTACAGTGGCAGCACAGATTTGCCCAAAGATCCTGACATGATGCCCAAGGATGCTTTGCTCCTGAATGGAGTCTCAATGGTAGGGAAGTTCTGGTAAGTTTGGCCTAACACCAAAGCCTCTTCTTGGGTGGGAGAGTATGTGAGAGGGCTGCTGTCAGAGTCATGACTGTTGATCTTGGCTACACAATGGAATTGGGTGGGGGCTTTAGATCTCCTGATGCCCAGACTACACCGTTGGCACCAACTAAGTCAGAATCCCTGGAGTGGGGGAGACTGCAACAGAGAGAAAGGACAGCACTTCATGTCCAGCACCCTCCTGCATAGTGAAGGTCAGGCTCCAGTGACCTAAATGCTTTCTCTGATAGGGCCTGATGCTCTATTCAAAAAATGTGGTGTGAGCGGCTTCATTTATAGTGCAGGTGTGACCTGGGAATGGATTGGTGGCCACACCCACTCCTTATTCCTTCAACACACAAAGACACACACTCCCCACAGTTTCCTGAGATCCATACCTCATAGGGAGCTGATTGCAGTAGTCATGTCACCTGTCTTTGGGAGAATGAGACATGGAAGCATCTGTTGTAGGTTACGAGACAGGTAATTAAGGGGTACTGAGCCTCAGTATCTAGATTATAGGAAAGAATCTTACAGATCAGTTCTGGTTCAGCCCATTTCTTTGGCTTTATGAGAAAGGACATGGCCAGAAAAAGGCCAGAGCTGTGGCTCTTGGCTCAGAGGTCCCCTTTCTTTGTTTTCCAAAGAGAACGAGAATCCCATGGGTGTAATGCAATGCTTCCATTGTTCTTGTTGTATCTCCTTGGTACTGCTTCCTGATTTTTTTTTCCTGTATTTTAGTAAGGGTCTACAGGGTTTACAGAGTCTACAGGGTTTCACTACATAGATCCATAGATTGGACTCAGCAATTCTCCTGTGTTCAGCCTCCCAAAGAACTGGAATTAAAGGCACACGCCACCACGCCCAGTTGCCCCCATGGGCAGGGCCAGCACACACTCTAGGGATCGAACCCTGGCCACTGCATCTGCCTAAGCAGGCACTTTAATCCACTGAGCTATTTAGCTGACCAAATTTGAGAAGGATTTTTTTTTTTTGTCTGGCCCGGCTGCCTTATGGACTGGTCTGGTGTGACATACAGAGCTGAGGACTGAACCATGGTCCCCTGTGCCTGACTGAGTTTAACCAAGCAAGCACTTTAAACAACTGAGCTAACCAGCAAGACCCCCTACTTCCTAAACTTAAAATAATCTCCATATTTCCCCCATTATACAGTTTCTTACTTCAAATTCTTTTACCCTATGTTAACTTTGTTTTGTCCCGTGTGTTTGGCGTCACCAGTCCACACTTGAACTTTACTGGGCTTATGTCTCTCTCTAACACAGAATGAGGAAAAAGAGTCAGAAATCACCATGCAGAGCAAAAGTAGATTTACTGCGGAAGTGATTCAAAGGCACTGGAGTGAATGGGAGCCTAGAGCTGGGTAACTGATCAATAGGGGGGAGTGGCCCTCTTTTATGGGGCAGGGGCCATCTCCATCCACCCAAAGAGCCTGGACTTAATTGGTTAATGGGCTCATTGCTAAAGATATAAGGTCATACAATGCATCAGGGTAGCTACAACTCACAGTTTAGGAGCACTGAGAGTGCTGAGACCACCACGGGTAAGGGGAGTGGTTTTGAGCCGATCCAAGGTTATATCCTCACTGTCTGGCATTGGTTGTAGAGGTGTTTTTTCTTCTCCTCTCAGAGGATCCATATCCTTTACTCTAATCCTACCTAAAGGGTCTTATCTCTCTCTACAAATTGAAGAATCTTCCATGTTTTTGGTGGTAATGTTCTACATATTCTGATTTGGTGTTACACAGGGAAAACTGAGGACAAACCTAGCAGGTTGAGGTCTTGGGATAAAAAAAAAAATGATGTTCTTCTTTGATAGAGATGGAAAGATCGTTATTTTAGGTTGATGTCTTGGTCCATGGCATAATCTGTCAGCCTCCTCTTCTTCCTCTTCTTCTTCTCCTCCTTTTCCTCCTCCTCCTCCTCTTTCACCTCCTTTTCTTCCTCCTCCTTCTCTTTCATTTATTTATTTGATATAGGGTCTCACTACACAGTTCAGACTCATAGTGATCCACCTGTCTCAGCCTCCCCTATGCTGGGATTATAGGTGTGCACCACCATGCCTAGTTTCAGGGCTGGCATGGTATGCCAGGGTTCCAGGGCCTGCATACGATGCAGTCTCAGGGATTAAACTTGGGTCCTTGCACTTGCCAGGCAGGCACTTAAACCACTGAACTATCTCCCCAGTCCAGTTATCGCTTCTTGAATGAACTACCACAAGTCAGTTTGCTGGGTTTCCATAGGTCTGGTATGAGGCAGTTGCCTTCATCATAGCAAAGTCTTAGGACTAAGATATTTACCAGATATTCAAGTGAAATATCAGATAATTTGTATAAGAGTTAGAACCTCATGGATAGTGCATTAAGGCTGATCTTTACAGAATAAGATAGACCATATCATTTCTCTCTTTAAGGATCCCAGTAACTTTTCTTTGTCCTTAGAATAAAATCAAAATTCCTTACCCTGCCCTATATGTTGTGGCCCCTAAATCTTCCTGACCTCTCTGTATATCACTCACCAAGCTCAGCTCACACACACACACACACACACACACACACACACACACACACACACACACATCAATCAACATTCTTATGTTCTTCAGATATTCCAAGTTTATTGCTGTTTTGTGCTCTCTATATTTTTTGGTCTTAGTCCCATAAAATACTTCCTTGAGATCAAGGCATGGTTGGATCTTTCTCATCCTCTTAGTCTAATCACAGATGTCACCTAACCAGTCAGGCTTTCTAGAGAAAGCTT